GAAAAGCCTCCAGAGCAGTGTTTTGCTCTTCTTTCAGTGAAGAAATACTCTGTAATTCCGATAAAACTTGCTCGATAGCCACGCTAACGCTAATTTCATCGGCTGAAGCCGCCATGTTCTTTAGACTGAACTGTCGCGCTTCTCGTTGCGTCACACCTCAATTTTGAGATGCTGCTATATCTGTGTTAATTGTGCTTTGGTGCTCACTGTGTCCATAAAAAGAACTTGGTGGTTGAATTTTGAAGAATCTAAGCTTTCTAATGATGTCTATTTCTATGTTGGTAGAAATGTTACAGTTGTAAATTTCATGTTTTCTGAGTTGTTAGTTGAAAACGCTTTAAGAAAGATTTTGAGAAGCTAAATTAATACATGTTTGCTGAAGTTCAGTTTCTAGTTCATTTCCTGGTTTATCAAAAAAAAGCAGAAATACACGTCTCATTAATATAAGGGGGAAAAAAAGCAAGCAGAAAGCACATAATGCGGCGGCTTTGCTTATTAAAATGCATAGCAGCTGCTCTGCAGAAAACTCCTGCTGCCTGTTTGACACCAGGTCATTAACAAAAAAAAAAGACAAATGTTGTTCCAACACCATATATGACAGCAAAGCCTTAATGAATGAGACGGCAAAGGAAAATATGAGGATGCTGAGAGGAAATCAGGTTTAGGAGCAGAGGAGGCGATTCTGCAAAGCAGCGCAGAGATAAACCGCTGCAGTTTTTTAGCAGCTGTTTATAATGAGTGAATAATTAAAACTCTTGGCGATGACATTTTTAACAGTAGCTGCATAACTGATGACAGGCATGAGAAAAAGATAATTAATCACTGTTGTGAAAATGATCAGAGGGTCAGCTATCACTGAATGGGGGTCATTTCAGGTGTCTAAAGCTTTCAACATCCAACATTCACAGTTTTAAAAGGACAGTTCATTTATTTTTTTTGTATATTTTCAGTTTTCTTTCAGTAGTTTTAATTATTTCATCCATCTTCTATCAGAGTCAGAGGGGCTGCTGCCTGTCTTCAGGAGTCTATGGGAGAAAGGCAGGATTCATCCTGGTTGGTAGCGAGTCTATCTCAGCAAAATTCTACCGTAAAAACCATAAACCTATTTATGAATTCTAGGTCTTGTTGAACGTTGTATAAATTATCTTCAAGTACTTTTTAAAAAAAACATTTGAAAGCACTCAAGATGTTCTAAATCTAGCAAGCGATTTACGCTCTGCCCTAAATTACAGGTTAGGAAGCAGGAGGCAGAGGCAACAATCTAAAAAGCAAACCTTTTACCCAAAATAAAAATAACTACAAGAATATTCTACAAATACCAAAGAGGCAATGAATACTTATTGAAATATTATTTTAGTTAGTATTTGGAAACACAGCTGATTACACTGACTTTGAAATAATAATTCAAAC